GCTCCTTTAGCAGATTAAAAATCTGATGCCTAAAAATGGGAATGGGAATTGATTAGAAATTGAGAAACTACTTAAAATTCTAGGTGAGACCCAAAGTGGGTCAGTGCGAAACAATGGTGTTGGGCAGCACAGGTGGGGAGGGAAGGGGAAAGAGAAAACAACCTATTGGACAAGTATTTGGAAAACACAATTAATAGGATGGTCATTAGTTGGGTGTAGGCATGAGGAAGAGGACTAGTTAACGGTGAATGCAAACTCTGCAGAGTTGAAAACCTGGATCTCACATAACTACTGTGTTCAAATGGTTCTAAAGTCTTTCACATTTCCTCTCATACCTTTATCTTAAAATCCATATAGGTAGAAAAAAATTTCCCTCAATACGTAAGACAGAATTGTACAGCTTTGTGACTTTAATGTGTCTCCCAGGGAGTCAGCTATTGCGTGTGCCAAGGAAGATCCTAGATAACCAGTTTTAAAGACAATTTTACATCTTGTAACTCTCTTGTATAGGAGAATCCCTACTGTAAAGTATTCCGAGGAATTTGAAGGCAAACAAGTATATAAGTGCAAGGAATTGTATCCGATGTAAGACACCACCCAGACTCTTGGCAAGGCGAAATCACTTGGAAACAATTAGTGACTCAAGAGACTGATATCATAGAGGATCAAAGTGTTCACTGGGAAGTGATTTGGGAAGTGGAGAGGCCACCAGTGACTTCACAGCAAACCACGGAGCGATTGTGAAACTCAATGCATTTTGCAATGTTACACACAGAGGAGGAACGCTTCCAACTCCAGAGAAATCCTGCTGACATCCAAGAGGCCTCTTGTTTCCGTGTCCAAGGATCTCTAGTATCACATAGTCTCTCCTAGACTTCATTTGTGGTAGTCTACTCCCTATTTTGAGAGTTTCCTGAACAACTGACACGATTGACAAATTCAGTCAGGCGCATCCTCAACTATTTGTTTTACGGGGGAACCAAGAGTATAGGAGACAGATTAAAGTTGAGGTGATAAAAAACGATATAATATACCTTATCGACCCTTCCATGGTAGTTTGGACCACGTCCTCTGACCACTTTCCTCTGATGAAAGAAGAAATAAGAACAGAGGAGGTGAACGACACAGAAATTTACAAGGGGAGGAGACAGGCCAAAAAGCCCCTTTCCTATTTTGCAAACCTAAAGACTCCTAATTAATGTAGTTTCATAGCAGCTTACTTTTAATTTTACAGTTCTTAGCAAAATTTGTAGCCATAGTTTTTATAAGTATGGTCACCACTCATGATCCCTGAAATGCTTAATAATCCCTAAAATAATAGTGTCTAAGAAACTACATTGAGGGATGTGTATGTGCAAGCTTATGTACGTGTGTGTGTATGTGCATCTGTGCGTCTGTTTGTGTGTGAGAGCAACAATGGCTGCCAAGATGAGAAGATAACCTAAAATTCTCACATGGAGGCCTAGAACTTCATCTAGGTAGGAAGGTAAGTTTTATATAGTTCAAATATGATACTCAGGAAGAGAACCAGATCAATGAGCCAAAGTAATGGTAGTTATATATAAACTATCTCTATTTCCTTATGACATTATGTATCTATCATCTATCTATCTATCTATCTATCTATCATCCATCATCACCTATGATATAAGTAAACTATAGAAATAGAAGGTGGATTGGTGGCTACCAGGAATGAGAAGGAGTGGGTAATGGTGACTAACTGCTTAATGGGTATGGGGGTTTATTCTGGAGTAATAAAAATGTTTCAGAACCAAAGAGATGTGGTGGTCGCATAAGTTGTGAGTGTACTAAATGGCACTGAATTATTTTACTTTAAAGTGAGTAATTTATGTTATATGAATTAAACATCAACAAAAACACTTTTTTAAATGGATTTGAACATAATTTTAAAGACTCATATTATAATTGAATGTAGCCAACAATTAAAAACATAAGTATATTGATGGGGCACCTGGGTGGCTCAGTCAGTTGAGCATCCGACTTCGGCTCGGGTCATGATCTCACAGTTCATGGGTTCGAGCCCTGCGTCAGGCCCTGTGCTGACAGCTCGAAGCCTGGAGCCTGCTTTGGATTCTGTGTCTCCCTCTCTCTCTCTGCCCCTAACCCACTCACATTCTGTCTCTGTCTCTCTCAAAAATAAATAAACATTAAAAAAAATTTTTTTTTTTAAAATAAGTATATTGAGTCCTAGGGGATAGGTAAAATTATGCCACTATGACTGAATATTTTATTATACAGAAAAAAAATTGATATATAGTTAGTTCCTATTATTTTACCAACATAGCAGAATGGCTCTTCTTCTTCTGGGAATGGCCATACATGTAACAATGTTGCCATGGTTGTGATGGCAACAGGGGTTTTACCTAGCCCCTGTCCACAGTTGACTTGTTGAGGAGTGGGCACTTGTTCCAAGATGAAGTACTTAATCCTCATTCAGTCAAATTGTGGGTTAAAATTTCTATATCTTGGATTGTAAAATATAAAAGCGAAGGTTGGAAACCACTGGGTCAACTATTTTTCCCACTATGTAGACCAGAGAACCTGAGGAAAGAAGTTTGAAGGGAAAAAGGAATGAGGGAAACACACAAAGAAAAGCAAGAGGAGAGAAAAGGGGCTTCTATAACATTCATATTCCTCATTCCAGATGCATCTCTGAGATTGAATTCCACAATCCCTCTGTATCTTTTCAATACATAGTCTCTTTAACTTAAATTAGTAGGTTTCTTGTCCCTTGACGATGAATCATAACTATTACACAGTGAGGAAATGAATACTGCTTTATAGACGCAAATTCTTAATACCTTTGCATATTTTAAAGGCAATAATGTGGAGACAATTTTCTTTCGAAAATAAAACATGGAAATTTATATAGGATTTTCAAGTTTGTAAAAAAAATTAATGCAATATCTAATTTCATACCAATACTCCCCTGGAAGTAAATGTTATTATCACCCCTACTTTAAGGATTAGAGGACTGAGACCCAGAAATGTCAAATGGCTTGCCCAATTAGCAGCAGAACAGGAACTAAGACCAATTTTTTTCCTCTAAAAGCAAGCAATCTTTACTGAGCAGTCATTCTGAGGGTCTTGTATTGGCAGCCAGAAGAGGGAAGCAACTTGGGATGCTCCCCTTCCAGCATTCTCTCAAGTTGGACTTCTGCTCCCATGGCCCACAGACTCCTTCCTACTTTGTGGGACCAAGTAGAGTGAACCACGCTGCCTGGACCAGTGCTGGTGTCTCCTGTTCCTACAAGGGTTTGCTCCAGGGCTCCCTGGTTGTCATGAAGGACTCTCAGGTCAGCTGGCTTGACTGCTCCCTGGAATCCAAAAGATTCCAACCATCTTTAGCTTTCCCCCTGGGGCCATTCCCCCTCACCACAGCACAGATCGCCACAGACAAGTGATTTTAAGGAGGCAACATTCTACAGCTGAGGGAGCTGTGCGAGAGTTTTTGTGTTCTCTAACTAAAAAGGCTACTTTTGGAATTTGTTTATAAGGCTCACTGCAGAAGTGACCTAGGCTCCAAGGTATCAAACCCAGAACAGGCTTCGAGCAGATTTCTGGTACGAGTAGTAGATAAGGACAAGGTTCCAGATTATAGCAAAAACGTTCATAATGGGGAGTAGGTAGGGAGTGGGAATAGTGCCTAGACAGGATACCTGCGCTGTTTACTTTCTTTGCTAGGCTTACAGAAGGTCAGGTTGGTATGGGGCTCTTCAGTGTCAGGGACCCAGGATCTGTCTGTTTTGTAGCTTCAACATCTTCAACACATGGTCTCCACCTCATGGCTCAAGACGGCTGCCCAAGCAGAAGCATTATGTCTGCATTCCAGGCAGCAGGAAGGAGAAAGATGATATCCCTTTAAGGACATTGCCTGAAAGTTATATACTCATTTCCATCTACGGAAAAGGCACCGAAGCGTAGGCATGAAATCATAGGTAGCTGCAAAGAGGATAAAAAAAAAAGGCAGTCTTGATTCTGAGTAGACATGTGCCCAGCTAAAATTTGGAAGGTGCCTTAATAAGGAACAAAGGGATATTAGGTGGCACATAGCAAACTCTCCCCCAAGTGCGAAAGCTGCTGATGAAGTCATTAAGTGGCTGTGCATGCGTGGCCTTTGTGAAAATGCCAAGATAGAAAGTTCTGTTTCGTTAGAACACACATGTCCTTTTCTAAAGAGGCATCCTGGTATCCCAGCACCCTGGGGAAGATGAGAAAAGAGATGTCTGCAGAGCAATAGAGGACACGAGATGTAGCAATGAAGAATAAAAACAACATTGTTATAATAATTATGATAATGATGCCTCACATTTGCATAACGCTTCAGATTTCTAATATTTAACGCATTCTAGTTGAACCCCAAACTATGTTAAGAAGAATTTTTAGTAATAACCCAATTTTAGAGAGGAGAAAATGGAGAAGCAGGTAGGTTAATTGCTTCTGTAAAGTTGGATAAGCAGCGAATAAATCCTACTCCACGGCGCGAGCACTGTCATGAACTCCAATTCTCACATTCTTCGAGGAATGCAATGGCAACATAAGTGTGTAATTCCAGCTTCTATATATTCCTTCGTTTATTCGTCAGTACACGTTTACTGAGCGGCCCAAAGAATACAAAGGTAACAAAATAGCCCTGCATCCCAAGACTTGAGAATCTAATAGCAAAAGTGGCAAAGTTATGTATAATATTTATAGAGATTGTATACTTATATTTTATATGTGATATGTAATTTTATTTTATATGTAAATATATGTATATGTAATAATATATATTGTATATTGTATATTTATATAGTATAGTTTATATATTAAGGTATATACTATAAGTATGACTATGTATTATATATATACATAATTTATATATATAAAAACACAACATATTTGTGCTTTTATAAAGAATATATTCAAAATTCAGTTTTCCAATTTTCCTTTTCAAGCCTAAGATTCTATGCCAACAGAATTCAAAAGCTAGCCTGTACCGTAGAACTCCTGTCTTTCGCATTCAGGCTTCCTTTCTCTCTTAAAGCTTCCTCTCACCATGTTTTCCATTCCTTGTTGATGCAGTTCTCAGACGTTAAGGTCGCACAGCATCCCAGCGAAGTAACTATCGCTATACCTATTTTATAGAAAGAAAGCACAAGGCCAAGATGGAGAGAAAAGATGCTCAGGATAGAAGCAAATCTACACCAAACCAAAGTCTCCACGCTTTTAAGTAGGATCCTTGACAAAACTACAGAAACCTAATAATAAAAAATGTATTTATACACTCATTATAGTAACCATCGCTCTGTGTTCCTCTACACAATGCTCTGAACACAGCAAATTGCTCTACTTGCCTGGTACCAGGTTGAGAGCTCTCTACGTATCGGAAGGTAATAATAATCATAGTTAATATTTATTGACCACTTAGCAGAGGCCACGTGCTTTGTTAAATATTTGACGAGTGCCTCCTTTCATCTTTAGAACAATGCCGTGAGGCCAAGGATGATATTCCCTCATAGTGTATGAAATTACCAAGAGCCAGCCATATGCCTATATTCACTCAGCTCCTAAGAATCACACTTGGTCTGGGTCTCACAATCTAAGTTCCCAATCACTCGTCCTACTGTTGTAGCCCTCAGAGCAACTACGCAAGAATTTACAGGGAGGCAAATTGTTGATATTGCTTAAAATTTCATTCGTTTTGCTCTGCCCTAAAACAAGCAATAGTGTGCAAGTGTTGGACAACCATCTGTAAAAGTGGTGTCCATATGGTTTCTAAAAAATTTGCTTTCCGCCGTGTTATGAGTCTTCTGTAAAAAATGAACACATGGGCCTGGTCTGTTCTTTACCTTCCTGTACAGGGCCAATTCATCATTTTATGTTGGTACCAAGTGGTTCTATTCCACTATTTTATGTGGAATAGAAAGTCATAACAAAGCACTTGGACGTGTTTATTGTCTATTTTGTTTATTTGTTTTTGTGTACCTGCTGACTTACACCGCTGATATTAATATTTTAAAATATTCAGTGTTTTCCTGAGATTTTTTACCCCATATCTGGCTTTTTCTAAATTTGATTGATGTTGTTCTTTTTATGTCTCATATAATTTTCTTCTGGTCTTTTAGCTAGTTTCGAAATAGAAACCTACAGTTTTTATCTGTTTTGAAGATGTAATTTTCTGGTCTAATTTTATTGTCTATAGGGATTTTGTTATTGTTCTTCCACTTTTGTCTCACGATAGTTTGGAATTGGATATGCCCTCAATACTTTACTGTTGCTCAGTTTTATACAGAATTAACTTTCATGAACTTTTAGTAGGTAGTTCAGGGTAGCATGTTCAACTTCACCCCCTCTTTGACTTTTTCAGGTAGTGTTAACAAATATGGCAGCTTGTCTTCTGAGATTTCATGGCTCTTCTGCCCTGCCCTGCTTTTATTGGACCTTTTCTCCTTTCTCTGATTCTTCTCCAGTTCCATCTTGGTTCACCCACTAGAAGTTTCTTTTCAGTGTGGAGTCCTGTCCTGGAAAAGAGTCCTGGCTAGTGAGTTTTGAGAGTTTATAAGACCTAGAATGATCCAGCCCCTTAAACAGAAATTTGCACTCACCTACTACATGAATGGGAGAGATCACCCTAAGTCTTAGATGCTGCTTCCCAGTGGATGCCTACGGGTGCTTACCTTCTCCTGTTCTCTATGAGGTCAGACATGCCTTTATTTCCCTTTGTCGCTTCTAGGCAAATGCCAATACCATGCAGGTCTTTGGCTATATAGTTTTTCCTCACTTGTTGGTATTTTAAAGTTCATAAGAATATTTTCTTCTTATTTTCATCTGGTTTTGTTAGAAATATTACCCATGGGTTTTGGTTTTATTATCTCATTGTTCCCTCTCTTTTATTTTGAGATTCTGAGATATTCAAAATTCATACTGTGGTAATTACCAACTTCCGAGAATCCCCTGGGCATTTTATACTTATCTTCTTGTTAATAATTTCTACCTTAATCCCATTGTGATTTGGGGACATATTCTGTATAGTTTTATTTAGTTAATGTTTGCTTCCAGGGAAGCTCTGTGTGAGTCTTCTTATATTTCTAAAATCTAGCCAGTGCTTGCCATATACTGACATTCAATAAATATTTGTAGATCGTTATTTTTGTCTGTTTTTCTTTCATTATTCATCAAGAGTGCTTTGCATAGCTATTATATACCTGGTAGTAACATAGCCACTTTGGAGTTTGTCTTAGTCCTTTCAGACTGCTAATAACAAAATACCACAGACTGGGTAGAGAATAAACACAGAAATTTCTTTCCCACAGTTCTGGAGACTGGAATTTCCATATCAGGGTGCCATTATGGTCCAGTGAGGGCCCTCTTCTAGGTCATAGACTCTTCATTGTGTCCTCACTTGACAGAAGAGACTAGGTAGCTCCCTGGGATCTCCTTTATGAGGACACTAGACCCATTCATGAAGGCTCCACCCACATGACCTGACCAACTCCCACAGGCCCACCTCCTAACATCATTGCATTGGGAGTTAGGAACATGTGAACTTGGGGGACACACAAACATTTAGACTATAACAGAGGTACAAAGAAATGAAAGATATAGGTTTGTCCTAAGATACTTTACATCTTTAAATCAGAGACTTTTGTGATTGAAGACATTGTTAGAGTCACCCAGGTGTACTGAAACCATTAAACAATTGAAATCACAGAGCTTAGATAGAAGTACATTTTGACTCACAAGATGGTAACAGTAGTATTGTAGTGTGTTCTCAGTCTACTATGTGTAGAGGACTGTTCCGTGGCTACATATGGTGCTAGAAGAAAGAACTAGTAGTTGACTGCCTGGAATGTTTCCTGCCATGTATATGGGTCATGAGAGTGGCATAATTTATCTATATATTTGTATTCTGAGATCAAAATCTGTTTACATTGCATAAAGATAATACTATTGTTTCAAAAATGAAATTGAAGGTGAACATTGAGTTTGCAGGAAGCTTGGAACTTATACATAGTAGGGCCATCAACAAAATAGAACTTTCCGAAAATCTGAGTTCAAGCTTCTGAATTTCTACTTGTATACCCAACATTTAATGAGTACTTACCATATTTCCTACACTCTAGAGTTTTTCATATATTCAACTTATTTACTCTTCACAGCTTTATCAGTAAGTTGTTACTCATTTCATAATCTTGGGAAATCACCTAAATTCACAGAACCTCACCTCTTCACCTATATGGCATGGGTCACCAGTGCTACTCCACTGGGCTCACTCAAAGCTTTTGTGATGTAATGTATGTAAACACAGTCTATCGTCTGAAAGTAATATGCTATTATTATTTCCAGCCCATTGCACTGTGATAACTAACACACGGGGCGATATGACGTAGGGACTGAACGGCGTAGTATCGAGTACAACTTCTATACCAAAGGAAGATGTTGACAGCTGGCATATTGAGGCGAGAAATGGATTCACACAGCACAGTGGCTTTAGTCATGAATTAAAATGTGAGGAGGAGAGAAAACATGAAAATTGTGGAGTAAGACTAAACTATTTCCTGAAATACAGACAACGGTTATCTTTGTGAGACGAAAAAGTAAACATTAAGAATAACATAGAAGCATAACAGAATATAACGAATGTTTGTTGACATTTAAGATACAGCTGATTTCCATCACTGTCTTTTCTCGAAGAGTCACAATTATTCCTGTGCAGGTTTTGCTATCTTTTTTTGGCTACAACCTTCTTGAGGACAGGAACGAGCGCTTTTTCACTAAAATGACCCTTTTCATGTAGTGAAACAACATAGCAATTGGAGTAAGAGATGTGAGTTGAAATCTTCGCTCCACTCAATTCTTGCGTGACTTAGAAAATTTTTCTTATCCGTGAAGTGGAGACGATGAGCGTGAACAACCAAAAGCACAGGCCACGGTGAGGATAAAATGATGCCATAAATGGGACACAATCAACTGAAGTGCTATCCAAATATTCGTCATTGACACCACCATCATTGTCACCAAATTACCATCGCCTCACTACCATGACTATCAGTAGCCCAAACACTATGTCTTGCAAGGTGGGTCAGTGAATTTTTGCTGAATGAAGGGACAATGAAATAAAAGCATGAAAAATGACTAAGACAGGACAGACTAGAAGCAAATAAAGAACATAAATGATTCAGGGCTTCGGAATCTCATCGTACATAAGCAACTCAAGGCAGAAGATGGGTTAACAAGACTCAATTTTGTAGTTTGGCCTTGTGTGTAGTTTCTGACAGTAAAATGTAAATTTGGCTTGAATGGAACCCAAGTAAAGGCCAGTGGCCTTGTTTAGGACTGGGAAAAATCTTTTTCCTTTAAAAGGAACCTTTAAATACTTTGGCACTGAGAGAAAAGCCAAATTTTCAGTGAGTGGGAGCCAGCAAATGACCTTCAGAGCAGAATAAAGGAGGGAATCCAATCCCTTCTTTAATTAGGTCTGTTGTGGATGGACCCCACAGCCAGTTACCCTCTTTCAGACTCCTGGCATCTGTATCCAAATCAGACAGCATTTCCGGAAGTGAATTTTTACCACTGAGGTTGAGAATGTTACTTGACAAAGAAAAGAAGATCATCCAATTTCAGGAGGGTTGAAACCTCATGACACTTCCTGGCCCTTTTGGGAAACTTGTGTACATTAAAATCTTCTTAAAAATCAAGAATCACTTTTGCCCCGAAATAACATCATTTCTTAACCCTCTCCTCATAATTTTTGATGTTACAATCACTTATGCTTGAGGGTAAAGACATCAGCCTGAAGCGGGGAAAGCAGCCTGAAGCAGATGTGGAAAAAATTTGTAAGATTTAAAACTACACCCTGTTTTACATCTCTGGCTCTGTTGTACAGGGTCATCTCATGATGAGTGAAAGGAAGGAAAACCCACAAAGCCAACCTATTGGGTGGGTGGAGGAGAAGAAAAGAAGAAAGACGTTTTTAAAAACATTTTTTTTTGTTCAAACTGGAATCACTAGCTCAAGACAAAAAATAAAAATAAAAAAACAAAAAACCAAAAACCAAAAAAACCCTAAATTACAAATATTGTTAAGAGCTTGGATTTTTTTTCATGAACTAATTTGCATCAATGCAATTGCTTTTATGTATGCCCCTATGAGTATTTGAAATCATGTATAGGTTTTTATCGGTTTGGTTTCAAAAAAAAATGTTTTCTCATCACAAGAATGTGCAATCATTTATAATAAAGATATGAAGGATCCCAAACACTGAGGCCACCGGGCTGGCAATAGAGTAGAAAAAAATTAACAATTCTCCGCAGTCTCTTCATTTGACCTTTAAACTTAGTTTTATCATTTTTGCCTGAAGAACTCTGAATTCTCAAAACTCGTCTGAGCCCTTTACTCTGGGTAATGAGTAAGTATGAAAATGTCTTCCCAGGCCAGCTATGGGAGGGGAGTGGGTTATCGGTGTCTCTGATCATCCACATTTGTATGAATACTGAATGTCATCAAAAGGATGACTGGAAATTGATGGAAACATTCCAATACTGGTGATAAGTACATTGATTTTTATCCTGGAAAATATAAGAAAAAGGTCATCTAGAAGGCATCTACCTGTGAAAGTCCAGAGTTCCAAGAGAAACCAGGTAAGGTGCTCTCCTATTTTAAAAGCCAGCCCCACTTTTTTAATTTTTTTTTTCAACGTTTATTTATTTTTGGGACAGAGAGAGACAGAGCATGAACGGGGGAGGGGCAGAGAGAGAGGGAGACAACACAGAATCGGAAACAGGCTCCAGGCTCTGAGCCATCAGCCCAGAGCTTGACGCGGGGCTCGAACTCACGGACCGCGAGATCGTGACCTGGCTGAAGTCGGACGCTTAACTGACTGTGCCACCCAGGCGCCCCGAGCCAGCCCCACTTTTAAGAAGCAGACCAAGTGATTCTGATGCAGGCAGCTGTTTAGAAGACTATACTGTGAAAAACCCTCTTAATTGGGAAGAGACCAAATATTTCATTAATGAACATCTAGTACTTGCCTAACACTGATGGGTGCTTTACACACATTATCATCATTCCTTATAATAACCTTATGAATGAATAAGTATCATTATTCCAATTTGCAGGTAATAAGGAGAGCCCAAGAATATGGCCCAAGAATAAGTGACCTAAAAAAGAAGCAGAGGATTAAGGGTTGAGGTCCATGTTCTGTTGGCTATTTCTTTTCCTTCCCCAAAACTTCCTCCTTTGGCTCACATGTCAATCAATTCTGAGCATCAGGAAATTGCTCTTGGGACAGCAGGGTGACTCAGTTGATTGAGCGTCTGACTTTTGACTTCAGCTCAGGACCACACTCAGTAAAAGTATGGAGAAAAATGTCTCCTGGGTCCAACTTGGCTCTAACCAACAGCAGTGGGCCTCTCCAATTGAATTTTTAAAGAATTATTCATCATCATCTTTTTTTTTTTTTTTTGGTCTGAAAATTGGATATTTCTCACAAAAGAAAATTTTGGGGGTGTGTGTGGTTACAATCAGGTTTGTGGATAATGATTTGTGTTTTTATAAACCAATCCTGTTATTTCTTATGGCTCTACTGTCCTTAGGAAAGTTGGTGTGTTTTCCCCTTCCTTTATATCGGTTTTCCATTCTTTCTTATACCCAGATGCTAAAATTAGATTTAGGGCAGCATAATTATGCCATAATTACCATGATCATATTTTCCTGCCATTGAAAACAAGTACCAATTTTGATTTTCCCCCAAACTTCAACAGATGCTATCTTTCTATAGTGTCGTAAATTAGTGTCAGAGTGTATCTAAATGTAAAAGCCATTTTCCTGAACTCGTGAGGGTTGTGCCGAACACACTGCTTCACTGAAGGTAATTGTTTCCAAGAATTATCATTTTTTTCTATTGATAATTTTATTCCAGAGAGCTTAATTATTCTCTAATTACCTTGCAAACTGTCTTATTTTACTGTCCAGAAAGAAACTTAATATCTCTGCCAAAAAACTTTATTTTACAAACAAGACGCAGAGAATCAGGGAAGGAAAATGACTTGTTCAGGGTCACTCAGCAAGTCCGAAACAGAGTTGGGGTTAGATATTTTAATCCCCAAAAGCTTTTTATGATACCATACTGACTTAATCAGTTTTTTTTTAAATGTTTATTGATTTATTTCAAAAGAGAGAGAACGTGTGCTTGTGCGAGTGGGGGAGGGGCAGAGAGAGAGGGATAGAGAGAGAATTCCAAGCAGAATCTGTGCTGTCAGCATGGAGCCCGACGTGGGGCTTGACCTCACAAACCCCAAGATCATGACCTGAGCCAAAATCAAGAGTCAGACACTTCACCACTAACCCACCCAGGCATCCCCGACTTAATCAGATTTTAGTCTTGAAGACTAAGACTGGAATCTTAATTCTGGCTAGCTGTCTGGGCCTTACTGCTTTTGAGCAAAAGAAGATTAAGGATATGGGAAGGAGACCAAAGTTCACCGCTTCTGGACTAGAGCGAAGCACCTCATGTCTCAGTAAAACCTTGGGAGATAGGATGCTGCTGTTTACCTGGGATTGAGAGCATTCCTACTCTCTTCTCTAGCTGGTTCTTGGCTGAGAGGAACAACACTCTGACATTCATTCACTCCTTAAACACATAGTGACTGACAACCTTCCATATATAGTCCTTGGGGATGAAGGACAGGCGACACCATTTCCCCTCCAGCACCACTTCATCCCAAGAACATAAACTCCCACTCCAGTGATAGGTGGAGATATTATAAACCAACAGTTACCCTACAGGTTGGTACCATTTTTTGATCAGAGTTGATCGTGAGATTTATTTTTAGCCCTATTTCTCATTTTATCGTAAGGTAACTGTTTCTTTTTCTTGCTTTCCCAGAAACATTGCTTTACTCAATGAATTTTAATTTATTTTTTTTTCTTTTTTTTCTTTTTTTTCTTTTTTAACGTTTATTTATTTTTGAGACAGAGAGAGACAGAGCATGAATGGTGGAAGGGCAGGGAAAGAGGGAGACACAGAATTGGAAGCAGGCTCCAGGCTCTGAGCCATCAGCCCAGAGCCTGATGCGGGGCTCGAACTCACGGACCGCGAGATCGTGACCCGGGTGAAGTCGGATGCTTAACCGACTGAGCCACCCAGGTGCCCCTTAATTTATTTTTTAATTGAGTATTTTTTGAGCTGTGCGATCAATAAAGAACTGAATCAGGCAAGGTTCCTATCTTCAAAAACTTGCAATCTAGTAGAGTAAACGAAGTAAGTATATAATCATAATTCAGATTAGAGACTGAATATTTATCTTCAAAACTAAAGTATTAAGGCATTAAGATAAAGGTGGCATTTCG